AGAAAAGCGTAACGCAGAATGTTCTTATCTAAGTTTTTAGAATACATTTTGAAAGGTTTGTGTTAGGTATTGATTCACGTATTTCCAACAATACCTATGGGCTACTTCTCTCCCCCACCTCCTACTCACAATTTCTCCCTATTTCTCTAGTAATTAGCCATAAAGAAAATGCAAAGAGAAAGAAAACAATGCATTGTGCTCTGATTAGGTAAAATTACCACGTTTGACTATTTATCATTGATACTTTTACTTCTACTAGTATATCTACTATCACTACTACCACCATACTATTAAACTATTACTATTACTTCTATTATCGCTATTGAGCCACGACGTTTTTATGTATATATATTTTCTCAATTCTTACGTGCGCAATGTTTGAACGAATGTAAAAAACGAATGGTGAGAATGCAGTAAGTAAAAAACGGAACGAATGCATAAAAAGAGAGAAAGAGAAAGAGAGAGAGAGAGAGAGAGAGAGAGAGAGAGAGAGAAGAAAGAACAACAAACCATAAGTGTTCGATTGTCTAGCTGCCTTTGCGCTCCTGTGTGTATAAAACTATAAATATGCGCCGCTCATCACACGTTTATTAACTTGTGGATAGTTAAGTAACAATAATTCTCATTCTATTTATACAAATAGTCATGCAATCACGTGCAACTTAAACAATTTTATACGACTTTTATTGATCGCCCATCTTTTTTAAGTGTAAGCAATGTGTTACATGCGTTTAGAATCTTGTTAGTGAGTAATGAAAGAAAGAAAAAAATAATGACTTGAATATGTGTTAGTGTTAGATATGAGTGGAGTGGTAATCTACGTTGTACTCGCCCTGTCAACAAGTTGCTACTGCATTTAATCCAATTCTTAACTGAAAAAAGAACACGATTAGTGAGTGTTAATCTAATTCTATTAGAGTGCATAATTTGGCAAATCTTTGTCTAGTTCCCATACCTATGATGGTTCGTAATTTTTAATCGTAAGGCTCTCATACTATGCACCTGATCTATGTGAAGTAGATGTTAGGAAACTAAAATGGCAAGGATTGGTAAACTATAAAAGTGAATGAGAGTGGATATATGTAACTTTGAATATACATGCATTTAAAAACTTCCCTTCAAAATAGCTTCTGGTTATAAAGAATTTCTCAGGTGTTGTTTCTTTTGGTTGGTAATGAATTGTTTGGCAGCTAGTCAGTAGCTACAACAAATGTTAGAATTAATGGTTTCTAGATTTAGTGTTTCGTAAGGATGAAAGTTTGACAAGAAGTAAAAGTTCAGAGTTTGTGGTTTTTATATTATTTTCATATTTCATATTTGAATCTGACTTAGTAATTTTATTGTAACAGTAATAATTTGCTATAATGATATTATTTTTCATACATTATTTTGTACAATGCAAAAAAATTTTTTAAGCGATACTTAATCATTTAAACTTCAATGAAAGCCAAGTATTAATTTTTTATCACTGAATTACCAAATAATGCAGAATTTCAAAAAGGAAAGTCGAGCAAATGATATTCTTACTATATATGTTAGTCAAACTTTTGTCAATGTTGTAATTACTAAAATTTGATTCAGTGCTAGGTAACTAAATTTAGTAAAAGTGCCATTTTTGTCTAAATACCCAGTGTCTTCATACCGATTTATGAAAACGTTAAAGTTTATCTTGCCCTTACTATTAGTGAATGATAATTTTTTAAAACTACCAGAGAAAAGTTTCGAAGTGGCTGTGACTGATGAGAAGTTCGTGAAATTTATATTAAAGCTCTAAACGTGAACATCTTTTTCAATTTGATAATAGGAATAAATTTTTTAATATTTGCAAGTACTCACTCTTTGAATTAACGTCTGTAGTAAGTGGAAAATTTCGCCTAAGTAAGATTTACAAAATATTTGTTGGTATTATGTCATAAATTTAGATACGTTGCTTGACAAGAGTAAAGGAGATAATGCACAGATTTTGTGAGTTTGTATGTGCTTCACTATGAAACAAAGGAGTCTGACTTTATGGAACCGTATAGAACAATATATTGGAACAAGAAAAGAAGCAAAAAATGAAATATTGAATTTTCTGCGACGGAGCCTACTTTTGTGCGATAAATTGAACGATCTTCACGTAAATTTAATTTACGACATTTAAACAATTATTAAACTATCTTTTGATTGTAATTTTTAATGAATTTGCAAGTGGTAAAAAACAAATATCTCATCTTACCAAGCAGTAATAAATTATTGTTAACCAAGTGATATTTTACTATTATATTTACGAATAGTCGCGTTATCAGAAGCAATGGTAATTATTAAATGTGTCACTTTATTGCTGTTTACTAATTGTTGACACTGATAGTCAAGGAAATATGTTTCGCTATTTCGAATATCATTGGCAATAAAAAGAACGCGATATTTTTTCTCTTAACTATTAAGCAATATTTCCTAGCATAACACCAATATATGTTTTTACATGTGGATGTTGTATAGTATCAACGTTGTAAGCAGAAATAAGGGAGTTGTGTATTTTCGTTGCTGATCTGCAATTGTACATAAGAGAGAGAAGGGTCGTAAAATACCGTTTTAGCAATAATGTCATGCCTAATGACTTAATACGTTATATGACTGTTATTTAACAAGAAAATTCTATTATAATGACTTCAATTTAAAAATTGTCGTTTTCCTTGTGTCGACTACATCAAATTTTATTGTATTTCATAAATCTGATATGTTCGTCTGGCGTAATTGAAAACTGCATGAGAAATATGTACTTCCTAAATATTTGTTTATACCGAATTCTTGAAAAAAACTTGTTTCAATCACTGTCATGAAACAGTGGATCTGGTTTGAATCAAGACTCCTTTGTTTAGTATACGCATTAATACCGTTATGAACGCATTTAAACAATTGAAATATAAATCTGGTTGGCAGAAAGGAAACGATAAGAAAACCCGCTTGATGCAATTGATGTGTTGCGTTGTTCAAGTTCTAGAAAAAGTTCAAATGCTCTTGATCAAATCAGTATTATACATAAAAGAATCAAAAAGTCAAAGAACCATATCATTTGAACAGAAGTCGTAAAGAACATGAGCGTGAGATATTAGTAATAGTAATTATAATGAAACGATAATATTAATATTAGTTATAATATAGTAACGATAAATTATATATATTCGTAACGAAATAGAGATGTAAACTTTCCGGAAAGATCGAATTGTTTCTCAAATAAGAGCCACTCTTGGTTTTGTACAGTCTCGAGAATTATCAAAAAAGCAAAAAAAAAAAAACAAAAAAAAATCATTGATTCCGATCTTATCTTACGTAGAATCTTAACATGTAATTTTGGTTGTTTTTCTAATTGCTGTCGTATAATTTAATTACTAGTTTTAGCAAATAATTGTTTGTGTAATTAATCTCTATTAGCACTTTTAGCTACTGTTCCTCAAGTGTATTCCTTCTTGTTTCGATCAGAACTAATTGTTCGCGTAACCTTTTTTCTCTCCTTTCTATATCGAACTATCGATAATAAAATTAGAATAAAAGTAACAGTAAATGTTAAAGTACAAGCAGTTAGCTATTTTTAAATTTTAAAAATCAACTCAAACGTCTAAAGGCTCCCGTCTCTTTGGTATATTTGAAAGAAAAGAAAAAACAAGAAATAATGAAATGTGACACGTATATATTTTTTAAATAAAACTTTCTCGACACTTTACATCTCTAACATTAAACGAGCAAGATTGATTCTATCTAAGAACGGAGTCACGAAAAACTGAGAAAAGAACGTAAAAAAAGGACTACTTGAGCACGTGTATCTTTCTTTTGTCGAATGTTTTTGGACATACAGGGGTGTAATTGGGCAGCGGTTAGGATTGTACAGAGAATGTTACAGGAAATAACGGAGAGATACATATAATAAAATACACGTATAGGTACATCTGATGTATAAGGAACGAAACGTGGATATACGTGCATACGCAGACATATATCAAGATACCGTCGGCATAGTGACTTAAAAAAGCGCTTACAATTACACAATTTGCTGCGTTTCGCGGGCGGACCTCGCTTTACAATAAAATAACATTTGCATCAGGCGACCGTCATTTCGGAAACATTTCCGGATAACCGAGACTCACGAAGACAATATGTTCTTTGGATGAGAAGGAAAAATATAAAAAAGAAAAAAAAGATGAAAAAATAGTATGAAACGCAAAACGCGATATATTCTGAAAAAGGGTTGCCCGTCTGATCAAGCGGTGTGAAAGGGTGTTGTGTAGACAGTTAATGTGTGAGTGTAATTACGATGATTCAAGTAAGAATGGAAAAATGTATAAAAAAAAAAAAAAAAAGTTTAGAAAAAAAAGATTCTGTGCAAAATACAATTCATTCGGTTTTTGTAGACGGTCGCTTGTGTGTGAGAGGATCAGATTTTTCGTCGCAATGACGAATAAATGTTTTGAAATAATGTCATTGTGGTACAGAAACTGTAAAGGGACAAAAAAAAAAACAAATTTGAAAATGAAAAAAAAATTCTGTACGAGAGTTTGTGCCACTCTACATCATGTACATAAGAATCGGTGCGAAAGAGATAGAGTGTATGATATGCAGGTATGTATGGAATATAGTATGATAGAGGAAAGAATAAAAATTTACATACAAATATGTGATGTGTATATACAGGAAATATTGAGATATATTTGTAAATTCTGTTATCTGAATGCATTATAAATATTTTAACCTCCTGTAATGAAATATTTAATAAAAAACGTTACCAACCAATCCGTCTACACTTTTAGCCGATGTGTTTAGGGTACCGTGAATTTTAGGAAAATGTACTTTCTTCATATGTGACAGTAGTCACAGCTGTTATTAACAAATCTGTATATCATTGAAAAATGACATTGTTTAATGCACATAATTTCTTTATTCAAATATTCACTCGTGCTGTGTTAGCGTATTTTAAAAGTATGAATAGATGTATCGTTTAATTTGTTTGTATAGAACAATACAGATTAAATTGTAATTGACATTGAATAGCACAAATATTATGTATTGAATGGAAAAGATATTATTTTACAGGCTGCGTTGAATTGAATGATATAAAAGTTGCTTTTTCTCATATATCTGTGTCCCTTGAAACTTCTAAATACCGTTCATAAGCTGAGGGTGTTTTTTAAAGGAGTAGACCTGGAGAAGTTAGAATTTTCTTAGAAACTTAAAAACAATATAAAATACGATATACTGCATTTGCTGGAAAAGATAATGTATAATAATAATTACATATTGTGTGCTATAAACAAGAATTATAATAATTTGTAATATAAGAAGTGAATTGAAACAAATAAAATAAGTTAAATGTATTTCTCGATGTAGTTTAATATAGTTTAACGAAATACTTCGCATAGTAATTGAAGGATTCGGTAACCATAACATTGTATCTAAGTGTCAAGTTTTCTGAAACTGAGATAACAAAGAAACTACATTAGCACTACACAAGGAACGAAAAATGTTTAAAATCAAAAATTATCGTTGTTATTATTATTATTCTTTTAAAAATTATTTTGTATCAATAAATGCTGAAAACATTTTTTTGAACAATAATTGCACGATAAGTACGTAGGATAGGTCTCTTCGTCTCTCCTAAAAGTTTGATTTTTTGGTACATGAAACGTTGTGGTTTGAAATCCTTTAATTACTTTGGGCAACCTGTATCTATTTCATTGCAAAGCATTGTTTTATACCTTACTATGTTTGTATAATCATAGAGAGGGGGGGATAAGTAATGCAATGACATTGCTACTTCGATTTCCTCTGCTTAAATTTTGTTATCATCCCTTTCGTGAAAGCGATGTAGTAATGTTTAGTAAAGAACGGTACATCTTTAGTATTGAGTTTTCTTATTGAAAACTGTTAAATTAGAAATTTTGAACGCAATCGATTCACAGGACTTCCGTTATGTAAGAATGTACATATACATGTATGGCAAAGTAAGTGACACAGATACCGCATTATGGTTCCACATAAAATAAATTTTGACTTACTTCTAAATTAATTAGATATTTCTAACGGTACATTTTTATTTCCGAAATTTTTTAGATTGACATGTTTCCAAAAATGTAGAAATAAATCTCCTGAAAAATTTCAATCTTTCGGCGAAAATATATTCTGAATTGAATTTATTTCGCGTTAATTACGTAAGTTAAGACTTCAAATGATAAATAATCTGTTTCAGCCATAATGCTGCACAGTATACTCGTATTCATTATGCCTTATCGACGTCTCTACGGATGTGGTTTGGTGTATCGGAGGAAGTTCATTACGCTATAGGAATTCTCACGTATATTATGATATTAATATAATATCTAAATTGCGTAGGTAATGAAGTTTTCTGTTATAATATGTGTTCGTGTAAATCACAAAATTTATTGTCATTTTAATATCACCATTCTATTTCTACTTACAGTTGTAAATTGAAACTCTTACTGGATACATTTTGGATTGCAACAAGAAACGAAGCAATAATCATCGCAACTGTGAGCAAACGAAAAGCTGAAATATAAATCAGGTGCAATCATGTTGTCTACTTTCGAATTTCACCTGATTACTTTTGCAAAATTGTACAAGTCGTTAATGTAAATATAATTTCATGTAACGAGAAATGTAAAACGTAGTATGTACAGTATTATTTAGTAGTGATTTAATAATATTCTGTTGTTGTGAGAATAGGATCTGTTTCTACCTGTAGCGGTCGTAGTTGGAGATATCCTTGACTCTTCTACTTTATCTCTATCTACTTGAATTGTCGTAATGATGTGTTCGGGAAGGAAATGATAGCTACGCTCGAGAACTGTGATAAGTACAAAATCGAGTCATCAAAGAAAGAGTATTCAAGTGCATTTTATCACTTGATGATAAATGAACCCGTTGCGGTTAGAACAGTAACGACAGAAAGTTGTACAAAATGCTTTCCTAAAGTCTGATCATTTTCTCTCTGGCTTCCACGATAGGTGGATACGTTTCGAAATCTCTTGACCCATCTCAACTTTTCCTCTCTATTTCTACTTCTCCTGTTCGTTTCTCAGGCATGTCTTTGTACGTCTCTTCATTTTTTTTTCTGATGGAACGTTAATTCGTCGTTCGACCGCTTCTCTCCCAAACGCGGTTTTTCAGAGGGTCGGAAAAGAAAGAGAAATAAGTGGGTTCGAAATCGTCTCCGATATCTATTATGCGATTCGCGTGAGATCCGTCGCGAAGAGTCGGCATATCACGCAGAGAGAGAAGGAGAGAGAGAGAGAGAGAGAGAAGGAAGGGGTGGGGAGCGTGAAGAGAGAGCGGGGTCGATCGAATCGAGGAACAGCAGGCAATAAAAACGCGAACCGGAGGGAGAAGGATCAGACGAGCCGGTCGGTATCATCAGTAGTGCCACCTGGTCGTGATATAGGGAGACGAGACGGGTTTAGGGGGGTGCGTATTGATGCGACTGCGCGATTTCGTCGACGCGGTAGAAAAGGGTAGCGATTCCGCGCGGCAACGGCGGCTCAGGGGAAGTACCTTTGGCGAAACAGAGACGGAGAGCACGAGGAAGGGAGGTGGTGGGGAATCGAGAGGAGAACGAGAGAAGGAGGGGACGGCCTGAAAAGCTCGGACCAGGCTGGGTTCGATCGCTCAATATTCATCCCTTGGCCGAACGAGAGCGCCCGAGAACAGCGGCTCCAGACGAGGGCACGAATCGACCCTTCCTTCCTTTGCGTCCTCGCCCGCGGAGCTGTTCGATCGCGGCACCGTTCCACCAGAAGACGGAGAACAAGATCAGCGGGAGGAAGCAGAACAGCCCGAGAAAGGGATATTTCCACGTCGTCGTTTGTTCGTTGTGATATCGCGGGAGAGATACCACTCTCCATCTTTCTTACTAGACGAACAGCGGAATGGAGGGCAAGAAAGTTGAACAGTATTATTCTCCGCCACCGCAACTTGGCAAATGGGAAGGTTTTAGGGTCTTTGTATGGAACTCCGAGACTGGACAGTTCCTGGGGCGCACAGGCGCTAGCTGGGGTAAGTTTCATCTGTGAAAATTCTCTCCATTCTCGTTAGATTTCTAATGCGTTCATTAAAAAGTGACGTTTTATTGATATTTGTATTCATAATTTTGGTTATGTAATGTTCATTGATAAGTTACTCTCTTAATTAGCGAGATAGGCAAGTGTCTGTCTAAATCTACCGATAATCTCTTCGAAAAATTCTGTAATACGTGTCATGAAAGGTCAGAACTCTAACACCCGATTGACATTTATTGTAACCTCATCGTTCCTGACGTAAAGTGTCGCAATGTACACGCGCACTGCAGCTTACTGCCAGTGCCATATATAAAGAACTTCCATGCTGCATTTGGACGAGTAAAGATGCTCCGATCGTAGTTTAATCGATTTTTCTTCGGTAACGTTGACGATTCGAAAATAGTCACGCTCGATTCTCTTTCTATACGTTTCTTTTCCAATTGAACAATTTCAACCTTTCGCATCTCTCGTAGTATCATTTTTTATGCGTAGACATTCAAGGTTTCGAATTAAAGGTTCAAAAGGGATCGTACAGAGGGGCGGTATCCCTTGCAATTTCCATTGTCCTATTTTTGTCGTCTATGATATAACCATAAAAGGAGAGAAATGGAACGAAGAATTATTCCTAGTCCTTGAGTCTAAATTTAGAAACTTCCATTTCCTCGTAAATAGCTAAATGTATTATAGTTGTATTTTAAATTGAAAAAAAAATATGTACATACAGTTATATACTTCCATTTCAAATTGGCATGCAAAGGGGATGGAAGTACCGAAGGGGGGAATATAGTACGGGAAAAGTTTTTCGAAAATAGTGATATGTTTATGATTACTTTGTTCCTTACCCTCGTGAATTTAGCATTTGATTTCATAGTTTTCTAATAATTTTGTCAATTCTTTGTACTAACGTATTACATAATGCAATTATGAGAGAAGCTTTGACCGGCAAGGACCTACATTACCATTTATCGGATAAAATGAATTCCACTTAAAAATATACACAATTTTACCATCAATCGATTCATGAACTTTGAAGTTTCGCTAATTATTTTCTAGAATTGTGATTTTCGTTAGAAAAGATATTGAACAGTGATAGGATAAAGAAGTGAAATTTAGCATCGATAGAAAAGAAAGTGAATAACTTTTGTAAACATATTGCTTATTCTTTGACAATGAAGGTACGTTACTGTCTGCGTAATGTATGACAGTTTTGTAGATATTATCGTTTATAACACGGCATAAATTGACAGATTTCGTAATCTAATCAAGTAATTAACTTGCCTGTGCTTACATTTCTCCCATTCTAAATTAGAAAAATCTATTTTAATTGTCATTCTTATCTCTTAGACCTACCTCGCACAGTTGCTATTCCGTTTCCACCTTCGCGTATTTTTGTCCATTATCTTTGTTAAATCTCGATCTGTAATAAAATTGTTGCACAGATCATCGGATCACTTTTTTCTCTTTATTTTTATAATTACACCTAGGAGACCTAAAAATTCAACAGATTTCGAATTGTTAACGCGTTGATTTATACCGCTTTGCGAAGTACACGTGCCTTCTCGAATAATAACTGAAATTCAATGTTGAAGAATTGTCTAATTTCTTCGTTACATTTGAAAAATTCTACAGTACAATACGTCCGCGTGTTCGAACTCTTTCGTAATTTTTCTGCGTACTTAAACCCTTTTCGAGTTATCACGTGCAAACATTACTCCACGATTCGACGACGATTATCAACGGAGACCTAAGCTTCAAACGTCTCCTTTTTAAACTTGTTGACACTCGGTGAATTCACAATTTTCCCGCAGCACTAACGAAGCAATTGATTTAGTCACCGAACTATTCTGCCGACATACATAACATAAAGCAGTCCACGTATTCGCCTCTCTGCAAGTTATATTCCTTCTGCGTTCTTCCATCTCTTTTTCCCCTCTTCAATACTTCAGGTTGATCGACTTCCACCAAAATCAATACAATATAACGGCCATTTCGCGGAAATAGCTTGTTCTGATTCTTACACGATCGATATGCTCTTAACAAACTTCATTCTCTCTGTTAGTTCCCCTTTTTGCGCTTTGTCAAGGCTTGTTCAACCTTTTCTCAAAGTATTGTGTTGCATTTTGTTGCAGGAGAGGTAGCCGATTCTCTTTTTCTGCTTGAAAGTGAATTTGTCTGTGACTGGTGAATAAGTTTTCTTTAACGGAAATACGGGAAATCCTATCGTAGTAACAACAAAGATGCGGTGTATTAACGTGCGGTTGCTGTAGTAACGTAACATTTTCACGGTTTTTTTTTTTTTGAGATATCGATCACTTCGTATGCGGAACGCGACGGCGCCACAAACTTAGAAGCCACCACGGTTCTTTCATGAAGTAGGTCATTGATATTGTTGCACTTGCGTTCGAGTCTTTGTACAGAAAATCTCATCCTTTTGTACTACTTTCTGTCATTACTTTTATCTCGTGAACAAGTGCACAGCTTTGCGGCAGAAACCAAGGTTTCTTTGTCAAATTCCCCTCCGGAGATGTCTACTTCTAAACGGAGACATTGCGACAATCCCGTTTCAGGTTCATCTAAATTCTGCTCGTTTAGTTCACGCGAATCGATCTTGAACTAAAGGATGAAAATCGTTGGAGAGCGTTGGAAGGAAAAAGAAATTTTATTTTGAACATTATCGCCGTACCTTTGTGCGAAATCAAAATTATTCCAGCGTATAAATGTACATTTTTTCGTTTCGTTTGTAAAAAGATACGAGTCGATGAAGAAGTTGTCAAATAAAGCAACGTTAGAGAAAAGAACTTGTCTGATAAATTGGAACTTTCGTTTCGTGTCACAGGATGGTAACCGTAAATGAAGTATAAAAAAATGTCTGCGAGTGATTGGTTATGCGAATGTGAGAAACTGTTAGAATGTTAAGATGAAATTATGAAAGAAATATAACGAAAAACAGCTGAATATTTATTTGAAATTAGCGTCTAGACAACGTGGAAAAAATCTGGGATCATGGAAGTCTTCCTCAAATGAGGGTAAGAAGAGAACAGTTGTTGTGACGGAGCGATACGTAATCCCACAATGCGGATATTTGTACAACGTAGGGAGCGACGTGTATAGAGATCAATAACCTACACTGCCTTTTTTTCTACTATGTTAGATTGTAGGACTTGCCACCGTTAAGCTTCCGACGTTTCGATTCCTTTTTTAGTTGTTATTTAATTCCGTTACACAACCTTACTCCATGAATAATATCCGAGATATCGAGAAATCGTGCAAAGAGAAAATTTGATTTAAAAAAGAACGAAAATAGAAGTTTAATTGAAAAATAATAAAAGTAAGAAAATATAAAGTTTATTATATTTTATAATTATGTTATAATACATTTTGTACAATAAGTATACACATTTACTGGTAAATTTATGCATATGCTTACTAATTTTACCAGTAAATACATCAAAAGAGCCAATAAAAATGAATAGCTTCAGTAATATGTTTGTATTACAATTTCGGGTTAAATGAAAAATACACTTTGTTTGGTATTGTGTAACATAAGGTCGCTGGTTTATTTCCTTGTATTGTTGAAAAGCTCTGTTTAATTTTGTCGTGAATATTTATCTGGAGTATCTCACAGTCGAAGACCATAGTGTAACTTATACCTTTGTTTCTTTAATTTCAATCGCATAAAAGGATATAAAGAATTTATATCAATTAGTATGCTTGTACTGAAGTATCTCGATGAACGTACGTAAATACAATACTTCCTAGTAAATCTATATTTTCTAGCAATAACGAACACATTTCCTTCCAGTTTTGATTTTTTCTGGAACTGTTGGTAACTTGGATTTTACACTTGTACCATTTATATACGTAGAAGCGTTTACATTCAATTTTTCTGGTTCAGAGAAGTCATTTATTCCGATACGAGTACTTATGCATTAACATCGTGACGTTTTTAAATGAAACGGTGAGTTTAACAATCAGCATCAACTATGCTGGTACGCGCACGTTGATATCGTGATTCAAAGCGAATAAGAAGGTCAACATCTCATGTATGTGCAATTGTCGTCACATGGAATCTAACGAATTCTAATGAAATCGTCCTGATGTACAAACATTTCACGTTACATTCAAAAGAGAAAAGTGTCGGTGTTGTAAACATTTGACGTTGCAACGAAATTTGGTGTAGCGCCAAGAGGAACTTTACTACGATCAACGTCATACACGTATTTCTTAAAATGAGTAACTTTACTAACGACGATGTTAAAAATAGAGGCATTGATTAGATAGTCTTCGTGTGTACGAAACTGACGTAAGACCTGTTTGGAAATATTTTAACGTTCGTTTAATTATGAAACTGCGACGACGTACTTTGGTACTGCGGGTGAACAATTTCCTAAAATTATTTGTAACTTACGTTCACGATTATTCGAACATTGAAACAACTGTAATGAAAGCTATCTAGGACACTTTAAGCGGCGAAAAAATTAATTCAAACAGCGTTTCATCGATTCGATTTTTGTTGTGGAATTGCACTCCGCGATTTTTCGAGAATACAATTGTTCTAAGTTACAAAGATTCTTAAAGTAAGCGCGCGACATCACTTACTCAATACCAATTCAGGCCAATTAGACCTTGGATCATAATTGTCTCGATGCTGTGCACTTCGGCTTGTGTGTATCCATAAAAGGAATTATTGCGATAAAAACAATTGCGTTGATGATGACTGTGGTTGAAATGTCCGAGATCTGTATACGAGCCACTCAGAAGCCAAAGTAACTTCGTCAAATTGGGTTTGTTAAATTTTCTTTTATTTACGAAGAGTTAAGCACGAAGAGTGTGCTTTGATACTAAAATTCGAAGAATTTCAAAAAGTCGAGTTGATCATTTTGGCTTCCGAGCGGCTCGTATCTCAAATGGTTCCTTTTGCTCGAGTTTGAAAATTTTATATTGTCCTTGAGTATCTTTAATCTTTTGGGACTTCGTTTCTAAGATAGCAGATGAACGAAAATTCGTTGAAATAATACATATTTGATTTGTTTCTATGATTACAGCCAAGATCTTGTTATTCTACGTTATTTTCTATGCGGTACTAGCTGGTTTCTTCGGGGCGATGTTGACCGTTTTTTATCAAACATTAGACCCGAACGCGCCGAAGTGGCAATTGGATGCTTCCTTGATCGGAAGCAATCCTGGACTTGGTTTTAGGCCCATGCCCCCTTCAAGCAATGTCGAGAGTACTTTAATTTGGTACAAAGCTAGCGACGAAGGCAACTTTTTGCATTGGACTAGAGAATTGGACAAGTTCCTCGAAGGTAACTTATTTTCATTGAAGAAACATTTTCATTTCATAATCTTGTTTGAACATTTTACATTACCTACCTTCATTTATTTCAGTTCGATTCATTTATCAACTGAGAACTATCAGTTTCACGTGGAATTACGTTCCAATGTTAGGCACAAAAACCATTTTCTTTTCTCCAATCGTTGACTAATTCATTTCCACGTTGAAAATAAAATTGCATGTCCTTTAGAATCTTCGAGAATTGTCAAGATTTTTCGTTTCGAATAGTCTAAATATACTTTATGCGACATTTCTATATATATAACACTAACATTAACGCGATTAATATATTATTAACGCGATATTAATTAACGCAACTAATAGATAGGCGAGAAAGTCGTCTTTGTCCTAACGAGCCAGTTACGTCAGGAGCTCGTTAAATCCGGTCAAGGTGAGACTAACCTTTGGAACACAGTTCCAATGTCTTTATGCCTAATAGTTATAAAAGTCTACACACATCCCCTACCTACATATACCATTTTGAACTAAATAGGTTTCGTCAATCTCTCATGGAGATACTCTGATATCCTAAAGAAAAGATCTCTCGCGTTTGAAAGTTAAAGGTAAAGATTTATTACGAGTTCGTTTTAAACAAATTATGAAGAAAAGTAAACATTTCCAATACAGAATTATCTGAAACCAAAATCTGTGTAACATTTTTCTAGATTAGACATGAACCTGGAACTTTGCGAAATATTAAACATTGACCGCAGCGCCATCTGTTTAAGATTGTAGGTTTCTTGGATAAAAATTGAACTTTTTTCTAACAAACCCAAAATATAGTTCATTTCACGATTTCACGGAATTGCACAAATTACACGCCTACGTGTAAAAATTTTCTTTAACCGCGTGTCACAAAGTGGTGACAAAATGTGTTTACTATTAGTAACTTAAGAAAACACCTAGTCTTTACAATCCAATGTTATAAACCTTATTTACATTCTTACGATTGAAAATTTCAAACAACAAAGGAAGATAAGAGAAAACTATGTGGTTGCTTTGCATAAAAAAAACGATGTGCTGTTGTGAAAAGAAATTTTTATAATATGATTTGACACGTAAATAGACATTACTTCGTATTTAATTAACATATCATTGAAGTATATTTAATTGATAAAACTTATTTGAGGCATATTTAATTTGAAATGTATTTAATTAATATATCATTGAAGAAATCTATTTCAATTTCTTTAGAGTACCAAAAGCCTGGTACCTCGACAACTAATGTCCAGAAAAGGATGATTTGCGACTACGGGAAACCCCCAACTGCCGGCAAAGTCTGTGACGTAGACATGTCGAAGTGGGGACAATGTACGAAAGAAAACAAATATGGCTACAATAAATCCGCTCCTTGTATTTTCCTCAAGCTGAACAAGGTATGTAGATTATCACTTAACGTATACACTGTAAAAATAGAAAATTTAGATCCTTTTCTTTTATTTAACAACATTGGGAGGGAAAATGTCTATCGTTAGGAATTTGTTACATTTCGTAACATGTTCATTTTTTGTAATTGAAATCTTTATCATCACGGTACATAGTTCAGTGTATTAGGTTGGTACACATGAAATGTTAATTCTTCAACAACGGAAATTGGCGAGTTGGTACCATGTATTACATTTTTATACATAACAGTCGAGAAGAAGGAATTTGGACATTATTATTTGACCGGAATATTCGCGTAATTTTTTTATATAAGTTTAAACTTGGAAATACTGCTGTGCAAAAGAACTGCTGGAAATATCAATTTAGCATTTTAAGAAGGTTATGTAAATGTTAAGACACTTCGACTTCAAGATTAGTGACTTTTCGTTGGAAGATGAGCTAAAAGGAAGGCCAGATAAGCCCTAGAACGAGGATGTTTTAAGAAAAGTTATCGAAAACTACCCACAGTAAAGAATATCAAATTTTGCCACATCCTTCCCTATTCACTACACCTTTCCCCAACAAACTACCACTTCTTCACACACCTGAGCAATTTTTTTAACGAATAAATTATTCCAAAATGAAGACAATGCAAAAAAAGTGTTCAAAGAATTTTTGAATTCAAAAACTAATGATTGTTATAGATATGGAATAATGAAATTAGTTAATCGTTGGGGAAAGTCTACAGAATCGTGTGAAAATTATGTCGAGTAAATTACATTTTTTTTTAAGAAACACGCAAGAAACAACATTTCATATGCACCAACCTAATAGAATAATAATAATAACGCACATGGAGATAACTGTTTCAAAATTTCACGTAAATGTGAAGTTAATATACAAAATGTATCTTTATTCGCTTAATTTAACATTATTATTATCAACATTATTAGCATTTCAATTAGTTTAATCTACGATTCACAGTAACGCTCATCTGACTCTTCTACTCTCCATCAAAATTTGACCCTTTCAATTCTCTATTTCACTCTGATGTTCGCACGAACTTTTCCTCAATTATGCCCTAAATCCTAGGACATAATTTAGTTTTAGAATCAATACCCTGAATGCAAGAAGTTACACAACTCTTCGTTCCTATCCTAGGGATGTTCGGTTTGTACATTTTTTGTTCATATCTGAGACTCTGTTACTCTGTCCTTATCATGTCTCCGTTACACCTAGCCAAACTTTCATTTAATGTCTTCATTTCCACAATGAAGTACGGAGGAAATAAGAGACAAATATCGATAATTACAATATTCTAGATTTTCGGCTGGAAACCAGAATATTACAATGATACAAAGAACCTGCCGAGCACTATGCCATCCGATCTTCGGGAACACATCAAACAAGAGGAACACGCTAACAGGTTAGATACCGTGTGGATCTCGTGTGCCGGTGAAAATTCAGCTGATGTCGAGAACATGGGCGCGATTCAATACATTCCACGTCGCGGCTTCCCTGGATACTACTTCCCCTTCACAAATACCCCCGGCTACCTTAGCCCCCTTGTAGCTGTTTTCTTCGAGAAGCCTAAATGTAAGTAACAATCAACTGGTGTAACAAGATACAAAAGAAACATTTTTTCGGCTAGTGCAGGAGATTCGATAAAATTTGAATAATACTCCTTTTAATGCTTTAATTGGCCTGTGAACCATGCGTGGGCGACGCACAACGTTCACAAATAGGTGACAATTTCACTTTCAAGAAACAATGTTATCAAGTATAGTAAAGAGGAAGTAAATGATACGGTTCATTTCTTCGTTGATACGGTTTACTTTTTTATTTGGATTTTGTATTACTATAGGATGTCTCAGCTATGGCCGAACACCTAAATATGTAAATGTTTTATTTTTAACACTAGAATTGCCAGTCGGGTCAAAATAACCCATTAGCGACTTTCCAAAAGTGAATTTTTAGGTAAGTAAACTGTGATTGGAAAATGAAAATTGGAAATAGAAGCATACATGTAGAAAATAAATTCGGAAAGTTACAAACGATAATACTTACCAGTATCGAGTATTCACGTTTTTTCAGAAGATGACCCGGTCGGTAAGTTCTAGTGTTAAAGATATTGGAAATGTTTCAAACACAGTTTGAATAGTTTCAAAAGAGGAGTATCACAAATAGAAAATATTTTTTATCATCACATTTTTCGAATTTTTTTAGTCACCGGTATTTTTTGCCAGAAAGCATATGTAGCACGTGTTAGCATGCTTGAACATTGGAAATATAATTAAATTCTGAGACAATGTTAGTATGTGAACTTATTTTTTATATTACAAATGTTTCAAGTGATATCCATCACGGATTGTGTTGCTCTTTGAATTGCTTCTGACGTGATAGTAGCACAAACTGCAATTATGTGATTCTTCGTGTCTTCCGGAGTGGTCGATTGCTGTCTGTAAACGTCTTCTAGCTTTCCGCAAAGAAAAGAGTCTAATGGTGTCAGATCCGGTGAACTTGCTGACCATGATATACGGCCATTACGTCCAGTCCAACGATTTTGGAATTTACTATCGAGTACTTGAATAACTGCCTGTGAATAATGAGCTGGGCAACCATTATGTTGGTACCACATAGCCTCACAAACACTTGAGCCATTTAATGCGAAAGTGGTGTAAGTCAAAAAAGGCGATTTCTAGGTAATGAGGGATAAAGTAAAAGTTCTGTAAAATTCAGGAATATGAAAGAATGTTAAATTTCTTTGATGTAAGCCACTGTATAGTTATACCTTAAGTCAAGGGTTGGGAATCTTTCGGAGCCGAAGAGCCATTTCAACAAAATAACGTACAAAAAATAAAATTTAGGGAGCCGCAATTTTAATTTAAGTTTAAAGGAGGATGTTAAAAAAAGGCCAATTTTGGTATACGGCCGGAACGACAAATTTTTTTACAGCATGATTCTACGCATCCTAAGGAACGAAAAATGTAATTGTCATTTTTCCCGGAAATGATGGGAAAGTTATGAAAAATGCAGTTAAAGGTAAGAGTATGACCATACTTATAACTTTATTCCGTCTTGTTTTCTTCGGATGATG